GTCGAACAAGAGAAAAAATGGTAATACATTCAAACATTTTTGGAGACAAAAACATAATTTCACCAGCTGAAATTGCATAATGTAACGTGTTCGTTATCAATTCATAATGGAACTGAACAAGAGAGATCGATATAGAAAACCATAAATTTTAGCAACAAAAATCTGAATCAAATACAGCGGTATGAAGTTGATTTCAGCATAAATTCACATTCCAAGCAATGCATTTGAGTTTATTTTGGTATTCAAGTGTAGATATTATACTGAAGGAACTGCCGAACCAGTTTTAAGGGGTTCAATGATTTCGAGCAGTTCATTACAGAGACCCGTAAAAACAACAGTATCTGTTTCAATAGGTTTAAACTTGACTAGTGCTGAAGGGACCAAATCCTCCTCTTCGAATGTCACGTTTCGTCCTCCAGCTGCAGAAAAATGTGGGATCACCCGCCGTTTGATTAAAACTGGATGTATCAGCTCAAACTTTAACCTTGGTTCTTTCAGTGCAGAGCTCACAAACTAACATAAAGAAAACAAATTTAATGATCAGCAACTTATCTTATAAAATGAATACATTTTATAGTAATTCAAAATTACCATGATATTACCAAAAATAGACTTCGAGAATTTAGTATCCTAGCTATCAATTGATAGTAAATAATATCAATGTTAATCAAACCAGAGTTGGTACTTGAAGGCTAGAAGGGATGGAGCTATAGGCCCATAGTTGTAGATCTGCTTGACAATTCCATATGGCCACGGCGGGGAGGAAAGCATGGTTTAGGGATGAAAATAATGTTCATTTATTAAATGTATTTGAACACTTAGTTGGGTGTGATACCATGGTTCCAAGTTGATACATTTAATTCACATACATCTATTAACTATAAAGTTCCTGAAATAGTTTTAAGGCTATAAGCACAAATCCCACTCACAGGTCTCATCCTAAGAAGCACAGATTTGGATACGTAATTTGAATACAATATGATATGGGTACGCCGATATAACTTCTTAAAAAAAAATTAGGATAGGATATGCGGATACGTGCTTATATAAATAAAATAAAATACTAAAACATTTTATCTTAATCCTTAATTGTCCCAATTTCATTTTCTTCAATATCGCCTCCTTCATTTATCATTAAAAATAATACTCACCAACTCTGGATCATAATAGATTAGCAATCTCAAGCAACCCAAATACTTTCAAAAGCATCAAATAAGTCTTCGATAATTTCCTACATTTTGGAATCTCCTTTTGAATAGAGATTTAATTCTCTTGATAAAAAAACGCAGATTACTATGATGAAAAGCAATTTATTAAATATATAGTGAAGTTCGATTATATTAATGTATAATTTATTAACATGATTTTGCATATAGCCCTTGTTTGAGCCACATTATTGAAATGAAAATGCATTTTAGAATAGTGTATCGATGAAAAATGTGTGATTAAAAAATAAAGAAAAATTTTGGATTTGACCGTAATATTATTTTATTGAAGAATATGCGGTTGAAATAATGTCAAATCACTGTTGAAAAATGCATCTTTTCAAATAATGTGGCTCAAACACGGCAATAATAAACTATTATCTATTTCTAATAATAAAAATATATTTATCAACTGTTAAAATGGTTTTAAACGTATTAAAAGATTTAATACTATTGTGTATTTCCAATAAAAAACTCTATTTGTCGATTAATTTAAAACTCTAAGTGTATATTCATAAAATATTATCTATTTTCAATAAATTATTATTATTAACAATAATTATGTATTAAGAAAAAAAAACATTGGATTTTTAAAAGAGTTTAAAACCAATAAATATTTTTTTTACGTGTCATAATATATCACGGAACCAACAAATTCAAAGCCCTCTAACTTGTGAAAGTATCGCCAACGCCAACACCAACACAACCCTTGAACCATCACACAGTTGACACACTATAAGAACTGATAGTGAGTCAATCTTGAGGCCACAAGCTTCAGATTTGATGAATGAACCACTTGAAGGCGAACTTTGCCAGTTTTATCGTTCTTTGCAGATTATGGTTGGCAAAATTAATGGAATTGTAAGTCTGGTCATAGTGGCGTGGTTTGGTAGTAAAGAGGCAGAGCAAAAACGAGAATTGCCATATGAGATATGAGCAGGAAATACATTGATGGAAGCCACTTGATGATATTGGTCAATAAATGGGAGATAAATTTGATCTTACAGTTTTTAGATTTACACCAAACCAGTTTCATATAGGTCATATGAGGTATAACTTAAATAAGTCACTGCGATATTGTACTATTTCTATGAGTACGAGAGTAGTAAAGATCGAACAACTAACCTCATATAAAGCACCAGTAGGCTCTGTAGGTGAAAAGATACCTTGAAGAACCACCCCGTCAGGAAACTGTATCCTGATAACTGTTCTATTGTACCTCTTTTTAGCAGCTTTAGCCTGCTTTTCTCTATACGATTTAGGAATTAAAAGCTTGGACTCTTCAATTTTCTTCTTCCTCATGTCTGCTTCTCTTCTTAATTCTTCAGCAGAGAGGTTGTAGAAAGAATCAGGGAGCTCAATTTTTGCAGCTACACTTTCAGGGACCGAACAGAAAACCCGTGTCTAATTGGATGAGAAGATAGGGTAATCAGAACTCAAGCAGAAGAAAATGGTGGAAAACTAAGATACACACAAGTCCAAGAGAAAGAATGAGACACAGTTATACAATTATATGTTAACTTAATTGAAAGAAAAATGTAAAACAAGGAAGATGGCAGAATCTAAAACAAATTAGTAGAAAATTGAGCAAATATGATATATTTGAATAATATTATAGAAAGTTATAAAGGAGTTGAGCCCAAACAAATCATAAATCCAAGGTTCCAACTGGAGCAAGAAAACTACAACACAAATACCAAGATCTGAATAATGAAATATACCATTTTACCTGAAACATGTAATTAGGAATCTAGGACCTAAATCAAATTTACACTACGAACTTACGTCAACTCTGTTACAGAAAATTAATCATATTCTTTCTGCTCTTATTGAGACAATGGAATGGAGTGTAATAAATTTTACCAGATGAGATTCAATAGTTCATCATGGAGCTTGATTTGCACACTCACATAACACGAACACAACTATTCAAGCCACAAATTAATTTTAAAAGAGAGCTAAAAGATACAAACACAACACTAGTGACATTTCCAAGTCCTGCAAATAAAAAATAAAAAATAATAATAATAACAATAATAAAGGGAGATTGAAAAAGTCCTTCAACCTCAATGATTAGAACCGAAACACAGTTCCTCACCAGGATCCACCATAGTTTCACTTTTTAATTAGCTTTCGCAAAATATTGCTTAACATGTCAGGTATTCACTCCGCCTATGTTCCTCCAAAGCCAGAGTTCCAAGCCCACATAAAGGAAGATTATTGTGGTAGGTTTACCATCAGCGTAAAACTTTGTAGCACATGGATAATTTTTTTTTTTCAAACCAACATGAATAATTTATAATTCTAAACTTTGTGTCCCCAAATTTCTTTTGCTATGTTTGAATGACATTTTAAATGCACTTCAACTTTTGGGTTGTTACATTCTCCACGAGACATCTCAAGATGGAAGGTGTCAAAACGAGTATGACAAGGGAGTACAATTTAAGCTGCTTTTAATTTATCTTCTTCTTGTCCTCCCTTATTGCTGTTTGAGTAAAGTAGGTGCATATACAACTTGAAACCTTAAAAAACTCCATTTAGCACCGAAAACCATATCTATATCAATGAAAATAGAGTTTTAGGGAAAAAAGAGCTTATATTGGCTTTCTGGTTCGCATGTTTAAGGCTCTACTCCTTTCTCACTTGTTCAAGTTCTGTCAGAGCATTGTCATCGTGACCCTTTAATCAACATTGTAGTATACCACTTGAAAGAAAAGTAGGAATCCTAATAGCACAATATGTGTTCCATCATTGGGCAATGATTTGAATTTGGTTTAATCCATCAATTTATAAGTAATGTGCACACTTGACTTCCATAGTTGTCAGAATGACCAAAGGAAAAATATCATATTACCATCAAATTTCTACCTTTTTCAACAAAGCATTATATCTGATTTCCCAATCAGTACTTTCTAGAGAAGATGGAGATGAATGCAGAAAACAAATCAATCTTCGATTTGCATGATTACTAATGATTTATAACTCACTGCTACATAAATAGGGGAAGAGATTGAGACCAGCGTGCTTTTGGCAATGATTTATATGTTTCTAACTTTTATTTTGCTTCACCGACCATTCAACTTACTCGACCTTAGAAGGCTCACAGCAATTACTCTCTGACTTTGAATTTCTAAAACACTTTAACAGGTTAATATCCAATGATTTCCGCTAAAAAATACAGACAATAGAGCATTATGCAAAGTGTTAGGATATACATTCCAGCAGCTCACCAGATTCCTTCAACTTCCAATTGCTTCCAACGTGTGTCCAGCTGTCTTCAGTTGTTATGTTAGTTAGTAGTTTAGTTAGTTAGTTAGTTGTTAGATGTTAGTTATTCTAGTTAGCCACTCACACTTGTGTCTATAAATACAAGATTTTGTATAACTTTTAGTTCATTGGATATTTTCCAATCTTCAATATGATTTCATATTGAATTTATCCTTTCTTCTTTTTACTGCTCTCTAGTTCTATGCTAGGGAGATGATTTCAATATTTCCTTCTTTTTACTGCTCTCTAGTTCTATACTAAGGAGAATTTAACACAAAGCACGTGTTTTTTGTATAACAGAACACGATATAAATTAAAAGGAAGCAGAACATAACAAAACATGAAATCAGCTGTAGAGATGAAGTAAACTGTATACCTGTCTATCAACCTTCTTGGGCTCCATGGGTTCCCCTAAATTAGCTGGAGCTGCAGATGAAGGTTCCTCAACCTTCTTTGGCTCCAATAATGATATGACATTCTTCACCAAACCAAGTCGTTCCTCCGATGGAGCATCCATCACCAGCCACATCTCGCCACTTTCCTCTTTCAACTCAAAGCCCATGAATTCAAATAACTCCACTCCTCCCAGAATATCTCCAATGGCATCCTTTACTTTCGGATTCCCCATCCGAATCTTCCTAAACTTAGTATTATCTGGCTCCTTCACAATATTCTTCAAAAGCTTCAGAACTACATCCAGTGATCCCGCTGAAGGATTCCCTGACAAATATGCAGTAAAACAGGCCTCCACTTCATTCTTGCTATCCTCAATTTCTTTTTCACTATCCCTCAAATTACGTGATACGGAGTTATTCAAACAAGTCTCAACATGAGAAGACACCTCCTCTTCAAAGCTATAGCCTTTACCACAAACAGGACACTCGAACACTTTCAAAGTATACCCGTTGGGATTCCTTTTCCCAGAAGTGATCAATGAGTTAAATGGGTCAAACCCATTTTCAGACTTCTCATTCCCATCTGATTCAACCCGGATTGCAGGTTTTTTATCCTCAATTTTCTGTTCAGAATTATTACTCAATTTTTGAGTTGCAGGCTTGGAATTTGATGATAAAGATTGATTTTGCTTTGGAGTACTCAAAGATTGTGGAGGTCTGGTTGCATCGAAGTTTGCAGGGCCTCTCGAAGGTGGAGAAGACGAAGAAGAGCCCAAGACTCTACCTTGGCCCTTGAATTTTTCTGAAGAAGATGATGAAAATGGGTTGTTGACCTTCTTCATAAAACCCTTCATTTTACCTTTCATCTCGTCCATTTTCTTCCTAATTCAATGGAAAAAAAGAAGAAGAAAAACCTCAAAAACGAATCAAAGAAATCGAAATCCCCAAAAGCAAAAATAATATGAAATCTGAATGAATAAATATTTTCTTGTTCGACCGGGATTTTATAGGCGTCACTGAAATATGAAACTTAAAGCTGAATATAAATATCAGTTTTGTTGTAGTATATGTGAAGTGAATTAACGCGTGAAGAGACCAAGAAAATAGGATCTAAGAAATCTACGGAGGGTTGTGTTCTTTGAGCTCAGGGCTACGGAGGATGTTTGTAGCACTTTTTTTTTTTTTTTTTTTAGGGAAAATGTGAAAATGGATTTTGGTATTTGCGTGTTGGAGGATAATAGAGCCAATTTTTCCGTGTGATTTGGTTGTCGAGACCCAGTCCTGCCAGCTCAACGAATGGGGCAGGAAGATTCTTTCAGACTTTTACTCTTTTCTATTGGATTATTTTGTTGGCAAAAGCTCCTTCGACAACCCCCGAACGTTCAGGGGGCGCCCCTCACAACCCCTGAGACTTGTCACCCAAGAATAGCTCTATTTGTTTCTTTGAACTTGTTTGATTGTTTGACTTATGTTTCTTGAACCGGATTATTCTGCTTTCGGGTACACACATAGTAACACCTCTCACACATTGTGGAGGATCCACGAATAAATTATTATGTATGGAATCCCTTTATGTGAGGTGGTGCAAGGAATTATGTACATCGAAAGTATACAAATAGAATAATCCTTCTTGAAAATAAATGTCCAGGTTTTTTTTTTATGGAAAAAGTGATTTTTGGTATTTGCGGGTTGGAGGATATACTTTTCCGTGTGATTTGGTTATGGAGACCCAGTCGTGCCAGTTCAACAAATGGGGAAGGAGATTCTTTTTACTCTTTTCTATTTCTATTGGAATATTTTGTTTGGTTGTTTGACTTAGGTTTCTTGAAAATAAATTTTGTCAAAATGATTTTTTAAGAACCAATGATTTATTGTAAATAATATAATTATTAATGAATGATATCTCTGCAACCTTAATTTTTAATTCTTTTCCTAAAAATATGAGACTTTGACTCTCAATAAAATACAAAGAAGTCTATACTTTTCTATTCTATTCTCTTTTTCTCTATAGTTTATAACATTATTAATTATTTATATTTTATAAAGGTTAATTTTAGTTAAAAAGACGAATTTTTATATTTTATGAGGATTAAATTTTAACAATGATAACTAAAGTTTGTTAAAAATTTCAAAAAAGTTTCCTTCCTTTTTTTTTTTTTAATGGTCACTTTAATCGAAAATCTTAGGTGACACCATTATGCCCCTATTTGTCACCATTATTATTATTATTTTTTACAGTACTCATTTTCAATCACACATTCTTTATTAAAAATACGCGTAAATCAAATTTTTTTTTTTCCTTTTTTAACCAAACATTCTCCATCAATCTAATATTCTATAATACATTTTTTTAAAATTAAAGGGCTCAAACACACCCTAAACATCAAAGTCGACCCAAACCATATTGAATGCCATGTAAGTTAAACATATTACACAAAACATTAAGATGGAAAAATACGTTTAGATGTAAAATGTATTGCACAAATGAGGTGTTATATTTAATGGTATCAATTAATTTCTATAATTACAATTACATTTGACTTAACGTACTAGTTAACATCATTTGTGTCTAAGTTGACATTTGAAAGTGCCGTGTAGAACTTTTAATTAATGTTTTTAGTCGAGTGGTTATAAATGTAATTGTTAGAAACTTGAGAGAGATCACTACCATAAGAAATATGCTTCAAATTTGTAATATTTTTCAATAAACTTTAGTGAACTTTGCTTAAATTAACCCTACTTTATTAAGGGCGGAAAATTTAATTTCGGTGGGGTCCTTGTTTTCTTTGGTTGGCTATTTCAATTTGTGTGATATCATCAATGAGATTGGATTTATATTATTACGTATTTTATTACTTTCAGATCTATCTTCAAGTAAAATTTTATGTTTATCACTTAGTTTCTTTTTGTTGAATTTGCCAATAAACTATTGATCTCGTTTCAATCATACCACTTGTTCGCATTCATCAACTTGAATGACAGAAAATCCTATGTGATTAACAGCAAGCCCATGCATACGAAAAACTAAATTCGAAATATCGTTATTCATGAAAAAATACAAAGAATAAATGATACTCTTTCGCACTTAGTCTACAAATGTTAACCATTTTTTTAATAAACAAATATCCTTTATACGTCGTGAGATCTCTACCATGGACGGTCTTCTATCAGGATGCTGTGCAGCGCAAGAAATGGCAAGATTTAAAACTTGTACCATTTGTTCCTTAAAGTTGTAAAACTAATCAATTCTGGATCAAACACTTCAATTGTCCACTTTTCTTGCACAACAGATTGAACCCTGTTGTTTCTAGAGTTTGAATTCACTCCTTCGAAAATAATTCGACAGAATTACCTGAATGCAAGAATTGATCAACAGGATCCAAAATTGTAATTCGAGCCCACCGACTTCACGATGTGTCCTTAAAACGAATTTGCTGCCTTCAATGGTGCTAAAGGCGTCCAGCAATCGTTTCCCAGAATAGAACGAATTTTTCGTCTCCTACGGAAGCAGCACTGCAGTCTGTAAGAGTTCCAACGAACTCAACGAATTGTTTTACTTCGAGACAATATCAGAACGAGAGAGAGGGAAATGAGATTCAAAGCACAGAACGTTTGCAATGAAAATGGTGTAAATTTTCTGGTAGAAAGGCTGGCTATTTATAGACTTGTTCGTGGCCATTCGAACAGTCATCACCTTTCAGACAAGTCTCAAAAATTCGAACAGACATACTGTTCTTAAAAGTCGTGTCTGTTAAGTCGGTTAACAGTCGACTGTTTGGTCGGTAAACAGTCGACTGTTTGGTGGGTAAACAGTCGAAACAGTCGACTGTTAAAAGAAAATAAAACACCCGGAATAAGCCAAAATTTAAATTTCATTTTGTACCCAAGAATTTGATTATTTACAATTTGGCCCAAAATTTTAAATAAATTTTGTCCAAAAAGTTAATATAGTGTAAAGGTCGACCCGGACCCGCACCCGCACCGAACCGGACCGGACTCGGGCACGTGCCGTGTCGAGCCGAGCCGGCCGGTCGGATTGTCCAAAAAGTTAATATAGTGTAAAGGTCGACCCGGACCTGCACCCGCACCGAACCGGACCGGACCGGACCGGACTCGTGCACGTGCACGTGCTCGTGCTCGTGTGGGTTTATGACCGAACCCAATAGGATATAGGTCTTCCCCCTTCCAAAGACTATTGGTACCCCTTGGGGCCCAAACCCAATTCCAAACTTCTACCTTATAAACCACACCAAAGTTTCCTAACTTTCCTATGTGGGATAAGTGTTTGGCAAATCAAATTCTTCCATAATCCTTAGTTTATGTGGGTTACTTTAACACTTAATATATCATTCAATTTTAAATGGTTTTCGATAAATAAATATATCACGTTAATCATCTCGCGGAGTAGAACGCGAATACGCTAGGTCCCGTATTATTTAAAAGGTGGGTCCCACTGAAATTTGGGCTCAAAGTTGACCCATTAAACCATTTTTTTCCAACAAACCCAACTTGGCAAATCAATCCCATCCCCCATCAAAACTCTATCAGGGTCCTTACCGGTCATTACTTCCAGAAGCAGAAGCACGACTCCAAAATTGTACACATCGGCTTTCTTTGAGATATTGGGTGAATCTGTCACTTCAGGTGCTCGATAGCCGTTCAAGTTTGGTGAAGTTATGTGAGAAACGAGTCGTATTAGGCTGAATTGGAAAGGGAAGGCGTCGTAGTATTCTGTGAGCAGAATGTTAGATGATTTGATGTTTCCATGTGTGGTATCACGGTCGATGGAGTGGAGATACTGGATGCCGTTGGCAACCCCCAGAGATATTTTGCATCTGATTTCCCATCTCAATGATCATCTGTCGTTTCCTGTTGATTATGATCGTTTCCTGTTGATTATGATATCAGAATTTAGTAAGTAGAAAGCTAGTTGGATGTAATTTTTGTTTAATAAGACTAAGAACATAGTAGCAGCATTCTATCAAGAACCAAAAACTGGAAAATTGACACAATTCTTCGGAGATTTTTAATGTTATAGAAGTTGATGATACCGAATGTGTCCCAATCTTGACCAATATCAAAAAACTAGACCGAAAGAAAGATGTTCCGTTGAGTCAGTGATGACGGAGCAAGAACTATGTCTCGACATTGTGAACAAAAACTAATTTGATAAATCAATCAAAAGAGGAGAAAAATTAAGAGAAGAAGAAAACATATTATTGAGCCACCAAAAACTAGGGTTTACAATGAACAAAATAGTTTATATCTAACTTTTAATAAAAAGGGAAGGAGGGTCTACTATTCATGCAATAGTAAATGAATCTATTTTTACTATGCATGATGTCATTTTTTATTTTCCATTTTGTTTATGTCAAACAAATGTTCTTCCACACATCATTCCATTAGCATTAAAAAAATAATTATGTCAAACAAATATTTTTCCACACATCATGTTACTAGCATTAAAAAATTAATAATAATTTTAGTAAATATAAACTGTCATGAGAAAAAAAAACTCTTCGCACATGAGCTTTAAAAAAATAAAAATAAACTCTCCACACAGTGTGGAGAGATGGCAAACTATGTGCGGAGTAAAAAATGAAAGATAAAAACTCTCTGCATAGTGCAGAGAGATGGCAAACCATGTGCAGAGAGTTGGCAAACTCTCCGTACAGTGTGAAGTAAAAAAAAATCATGGCAAAACTCTCCGCACAGTGCGGAGAGATGACAAACACCATGGCAAAACTCTTCGCACAGTGCGGAGAGATAGCATTCTGTGCGGACACTTTCCTCACAAAGTGCGGACTTTCCGTACAGTGCGAAGTAAAAAAAAAAACACTTCGCACAGTGCGGAGAGTTGGCAAACTCTCCGTACAGTGCAAAGTGTTAAAAAAAAAAAAACTCTCCACACAGTGACTGTCACATGCATTGCACGAATTTTGCATTTATCGTATTTTTATTAGTGTATGAATTTTAGTTTTTTGAAAAGTTTTTGAAATAATATTTAGAAATATTTCCATGATATAAATGTTGAAAGAATAAAAATCTGGAATTTTTTTTTAAAATTTGGTTTGATAAGTGAATGTACAGCATTCTGAATTCTCAATATTTATAAGTGCAAAAATCAGTATATAAAAATACAGTAAGTTGAAAATACGGTAGGCAACATATAAGGTAGACAGTATATACGGTAAACTGCAAATACGGT